GAGAACCAGCGCGGACCACCCCGAAGAACCAATCATCCAACTTTGAGGGCTCGGGACACGGTGGAAGTCTCCACTCGAGCCCTACCCCTACGGCGGCCCGGGAAAGCATAGCCATTATTTCTGGATCCGATTCAGGCATTGCTACAGTCCCGGAGGAGAGCAGCGCAGCCGAATCTTCCTCTCCAGAAAGCTCCGGCTCACCCTCCGATGCAGCGATCGACATCCGGTCGTCGGGAGGAGCTCCAAAGGATACTGCTGGTACGCTCCTTGTAGAGGGCTCAGCACGTTCCATTGGCAGCTCAACTGGCTGCGGAGTGCCTCAGACCGCCCGCGCTACTGCCTGAAGTAGCCCCCCCTGGCTGCCGCCAAGAGGAGAACTAGATCAAGGCAGAGGCAACGGAACTCCGCCCCTTGAGGAAACGGAGCTTGGCCCGCGACTCCGAGATGATCATCTTCCCGCAATGAGAAGATGACTCATCCACAAACGCCACCTCAGCGTGCTACATGCCCAGGCACGTGAGGCAGCGATCGTGACCATCACCCAGCGCCAGGTAACGACCGCATCCAGAAACGCTCGGGTGATACGTTGTCTATAGCAAGACCCACATCGTCTTTACAAAGACGTAACGTCAAGTTTGCCACGCAACGTCGTCTTTAAAAAGACGCACCCGAAATTGCTCTTTTAGGGGAAAAAGCTCTTTTAGCGTGCTGAAGCGCATAGGGGAGATGATCATCTGCAACACAAACAGTGGGTAGTGCAGCCTGATGTGTGCAACCCACTCGACACTGGAAACCACCACCGCTGAAGCGCCGTACCGCCAACATGAAGAGCTCTCCGAACGCTGAACTCGTTCAGTCTTCTTCTCTCAGTAGAGTAGTCAGGAGCAGAACGATGTGATCGCTCGGCTCCGAAGCGAAAAGCTGAATATGCGCTGCATCTGCTGCCTACTTATACTCACGCTGTGATCAGCGGCAGCTGGATGCAATAATCGCATGCCAATGTGCATTGGCTCGTTTAGTTTACATTCGAAGTAGATTGGTCTCTCTAAGCGAGATCCCAATTTGTCGGTCATCCGACGTGATGTCGAGAGTGACCGACTGAAAGGGAACTGTGATGTCCATGTTAAATAAAAATGTAATAATAATAATAGAACAAATGAAAAAAAAAGATTTGTTATTTTATTACTTATACTGTTTAAAAATAATAATTTGTCATGGTTTCTGACCAGAAAGAAAGAAAAATTTAATAATATAAAAATTTGGTTGATATGTTAAAATATGTCGTGTTAAACAATTTTAAAGCCCCATGTAGTCCCAGAACCTTAGTTTGAAAACCTTTTGTGTATGACATGGAAAAGTTTTGTTGCATTTCTTTTAATATGTGAAGTTTATTAATGGTTGTTTTGTGTTCCATCTCTTTGACATATTAGTGTTCAAATGCCACCACAGTTTCGAAGCTGTATAAGCACTTTTATTCTGGAGAGAACTGAGAAAATGTCATGACTGTGAGGCTTAAACTCAATTGTGTAGGACCTGTAGGCAACTTTAAAGCACACAAATGAAAATATGGTAGTATGCACTACATTAACAGTTTGTCTGTCATATTTCAGATGGGATTGTTTTATTAATCTGTCACGGTGTAATTGAAGATGTTATTGAAACACAGGACAGATAAAAACTATTGGGAGAGTCCAACTCCTGCATTGCTTGTATAATCTTGATAAAAGACTAAACACATTAAGAAAATAGTGGACAACTCAATACTAAGTTAGGTTGAATTAGAGAAAGCTCAAAGGTTGGACTGTTGAACAAACTGCTAATAACCACTGAATCTCTCTCTCTCTCTCTCTCAGGTTCCATCTATAACCAGGTCTGTGGGTTCAGACAGAATCCTGGCACTGCGGCAGCAGACTCAGTTCCTGTGGGATGCCTACTTCTCCTCCGTCACAAAGATAGTCTTAACCACATTAGAGGTTAGTCCGCACTTAAAGCAGAGAGAGATGCGCTGCGTACAAATGAGTCATACTGGGGGAAATGTGTGAATGAGGGACTGCCAGCTGCTTGATGTCATTTAGGTTTTTTTTTTTTTTGGCACTTAAAGGGATAGTTCACCCAAAATGACATTAAATGAAAACACCATCATCATTTACTCACTCTCATGTCAATCAAAAAACATAAAAAATTATGATTTTCACAAAACAAGTTTAGTTTTTGTGTGAAATAAGGCCTGTTCACACACAAAACATAAAGGATAATAACTACATTTGTGTTCACACCAGAAGGCAATAATGTTATTTTTATGTGTGCACTTTCATTATGTGAGCATAATTGCAGTGCACACTTTAACGTAGGAAGGATTTTGATTGGCTGGAAAAGAATCACTCTGACAATCGTTCCAACGATATTGTTTCTCATAGTTGTATTTGTTTTGAGCTATTCTCTCTGATTTTTACATTTTTATGGTTATAGTTCCACTTAAAGTTCTAAAGTTAAGCCATATGGTGACCTAACAGACATGTAGTATCAAAACTGTTTATCATATAAATGTAAAAAAAAGTCTTAAAAATGACATTGCACACTGACATTTTTAAATATTACTTTTTCATGTTCTATCACTTTCTACTGTATTTTCTAATTTAATTGGCTCCACACCTCTTCCATAAAATCCTGCCGGATCTCAGTATCGTCCTTCATCATATATAGTCCATATAGGTAATTTAGTTGTAATAGTTAATGCTGATCATGTGTCTTTTTCTTGACATATGCTTTGTTTTGTCTCTATCTCTCTCTCACACTCACTCATTTCTTGTTCTCTCCATCTCTCTCCCTCTCTGACATCTTCTATTTTCTGCAAAAGCTTTCATCATGAGTTGCTGTCACACATAAGAAGATGATACCTGCCATGATCAAACGCACTTGGTCTTTTCCAGACCTCTCCAACACATAAAAATGCAGATGGATTTACACAAACATTCCCTCACATGTCTCTTTGAGAAGTTTCTGCCGGGGTACAGGCCAGCCTTGGTCAGCTAGATGGAATAGAAACTTTGTGCTGGGTTGCTGTATCTCTTCATCTCAGGAAGGTGTTGGACAAGTCTTTTAATAACAGGACCAGACTGACAACTGCCAGACGTCACTGCCAGAAATATGACTGCCTATAAATGTGTTCAGAAAGCAGACAGAGGAGCTTCACCAACTTCACCAATATCACCACAGTGATCAGTACAGTGTTTTACAGCGGTATCTGTTTCTGTGTACAGTAAAGCAGCGGGACTCAACTGGTTTTGCTTTAAAACCCAAATTTTACACAAAACAGGATCAAAGCTGTCTTTAAATTGTAATTTACAAAAATGCCTTAAAATTACTATGAAAAAAATATTAACATTACATCAGATTGAATTGAAATTTTGGTTTGTTTCATGCTCCTGGCTATTGAGGCCCAGGAGTGCCACTTTAATCAAATTAAGAAAATTAAATTAAATTAAATTAAGAAATGATTCTTCATGATGATTATAAACATATGAATTAAAAAATTTAAAAAATGTAAATAAATATCACTTTCCAGATTATATTATAAATAAACTTACTGTATGTAAAAGTTTAATTTATTCATGTTTATAATGTAACAATAAATAATAAATCATTTTTAAATGCATCTTTTAAATTGCTTTTAAAAAGCGTTGGCCAGTTGCTTTTGTATATCTATTTGCAATATGTATTTAAAATGATTTATTTAACTTAATCATAATTTAACATAAACAATTATTAAAATTAAGTTAAATGTAATGCTTAAAAATGCTCATTTGTAATTGATTTATTAATTTACATTTTACCCCCTTTTAAAATTTGATATATCACCATTTTTCTCAGTAAATACAGAGTTCTGGCATGAAACTCTAGATGGTACAGTCCGATAGGTCTAACTCAATCTGACCTAATGACATCATTATCACATGGCACAGCTGATTGGTTTACTCCTGTATCGGTAGCCAATGAGCTCAATGCTCAACATTCAAATATATGACTAGTGCTTGCCGTAGCAGTTGCAGCTTGCTTCAGAAACCCTCCACCTTCCCCAGCTCCACCTGTATAGATCTGCTACAAGGTGATTCATGTATGCTATATGGGGGGTTATTTCATGTATGTTATATTTGCAGCAGCAATATTTCTTACATGCTCACAGCAGCATGTTGTGGATGTATTGGCAGTAGCAAGTCTCGGTACTTGCTCTGCCGCAGCAGCAGCAGCAGCGTAGCAGATCTATTCCACCAAGAC